AGAGATAGGACAGAGGAACCTCACCCAGACTGAAAGTGATTGTCATAGAATCTCTACCAGACTGAAAGTCATTGTCATAGAATCTGTTCTACACTGAAAGTCATTGTCACAGAATCTCTACCAGACTGAAAGTCATTGTCACAGAATCTGTTCTACACTGAAAGTCATTGTCACAGAATCTCTACCAGACTGAAATTCATTGTCATAGAATCTGTTCTACACTGAAAGTCAATGTCACAGAATCTCTACCAGACTGAAAGTCATTGTCACATAATCTCTACTAGACTGTAAGTCAATGTCACGGAATCTCTACCAGACTGAAAGTCATTGTCACAGAATCTCTACTAGACTGAAAGTCATTGTCACAGAATCTCTACTATACTGAAAGTCATTGTCACAGAATCACTACTATACTGAAAGTCATTGTCACAGAATCTCTACCAGACTGAAAGTCATTGTCACAGAATCTCTACTAGACTGAAAGTCATTGTCACAGAATCTCTACTAGACTGAAAGTGATTGTCATAGAATCTCTACTATACTGAAAGTCATTGTCACAGAATCTCTACCAGACTGAAAGTCAATGTCACAGAATCTCTACCAGACTGAAAGTCAATGTCATAGAATCTCTACCAGACTGAAAGTCAATGTCATAGAATCTCTACCAGACTGAAAGTGATTGTCATAGAATCTCTACTATACTGAAAGTCATTGTCACAGAATCTCTACTATACTGAAAGTCATTGTCACAGAATCACTACTATACTGAAAGTCATTGTCACAGAATCTCTACCAGACTGAAAGTCATTGTCACAGAATCTCTACTAGACTGAAAGTCATTGTCACAGAATCTCTACTAGACTGAAAGTGATTGTCATAGAATCTCTACTATACTGAAAGTCATTGTCACAGAATCTCTACCAGACTGAAAGTCATAATCACAGAATCTCTGCTATACTGTAAGTCATTGTCACAGAATCTCTACTAGACTGAAAGTCACTCTCTACTATACTGAAAGTCATTGTCACATAATCTCTACTATACTGAAAGTCATTGTCTCAGAATCTCTACTAGACTGAAAGTCATTGTCACAGATTCTCTACTAGACTGAAAGTCATTGTCACAGAATCTCTACTATACTGAAAGTCATTGTCATAGAATCTCTACCAGACTGAAAGGTCATTGTCATAGAATCTGACTGAAAGTCATTGTCACAGAATCTCTACTATACTGAAAGTCATTGTCACATAATCTCTACTAGACTGAAAGTTATTGTCATATAATCTCTACTAGACTGTAAGTCAATGTCACAGAATCTCTACCAGACTGTAAGTCATTGTCATAGAATCTCTACTAGACTGAAAGTCATTGTCACATAATCTCTACTATACTGAAAGTCATTGTCTCAGAATCTCTACTAGACATTGTCACATAATCTCTACTATACTGAAAGTCATTGTCTCAGAATCTCTACTAGACTGTAAGTCATTGTCATAGAATCTCTACTAGACTGTAAGTCAGTGTCACAGAATCTCTACTAGACTGTAAGTCATTGTCACAGAATCTCTACTAGACTGAAAGTCATTGTCTCAGAATCTCTACCAGACTGAAAGTCATTGTCACATAATCTCTACTAGACTGTAAGTCAATGTCACGGAATCTCTACCAGACTGAAAGTCAATGTCACAGAATCTCTACCAGACTGAAAGTCAATGTCATAGAATCTTACCCTGGTTGTTAGAAAAGATAGACTGATAGTCTCACCTTTACTCAAGAGAATCTCCCTCTGTGAGACAATGTAGACTCAGAGAATCTCACTTTGGCTGAGTGAAGTATTAAGAGATGTTAAAATCAGGCCAAATTGACTGAGAAAATCACAAACTTTCATATTCGTTCAACTTAGTGATCACAAAAGAAAAAACAGTTATTCGACAAGTTTGAAGTCCATATCATCATATGGTCATATATAACATTGTCAATATATAGCTTTTTGAAATAAAATGTGACTTAAACCACAGTTTATTTGTATTCAGAGAAAGCATTCATAAATATTGAGAAGAAGCACAGATGTACCCCTAGATTGTAATTTAATTAAATCATGGAACAACTCACAACTAATAGCATCTAATTGGTGATAAGGAAGTGCTGGCTTTAGAACTTTGTTCAAACAGTTACCATAGCGATCAAATTAACAGATGTCATCTGGAGACCCTGCAGTGACCTCAGGGTTCAGATGTAGTCAATACACTGAGGTCATGGGAAACTGAGGCAGGAAGAATGATCACATCTTAATAACTTTACTGGTTACATCACTTCATGTCTTCCAGCATCTGCATAACCAACAGGGTTCATTTTAAAGGAGGAAAAAGGTTGATTTTTTTGTAAACTGATAGATATTGAATTGGCTGTCTGCCAAATTGTGCCAGTATTCAGGTAAAGCAGATATTTGGTATAGGGATTTGTGCCAATGGTAGGGATTGGATGTTTCCTGATGGAGGTACAAGGTTATGACATGTGTAACATTCTACTGATGGAAATTGCTGTAATTTTTGCCATTTGTATTTCATTAAAGCAATTTTATAAACTGTTTATGTTGCCATGAAGATTATAATTGAGGAAATTATACATAGATTGTGCTTCCCAAAAACTTAGAGAATGGTAATGTTTCTTTTAGTGTATCTGATAATTGCTGAGAACCAAATGTTTGCTAATCATTGTTTCTGAATAGCTTTCACTTTGAACATTTTATGGACTTATGTTGAACAAAACTGTACATCTATGTTTATAGTGACGACGTTAGATTTCCCAGAAGAACATTCACTCTGTATGGTTCCAGGTTGATTATTACATCTAGGCAGTTATTCTGGGAGATACAAAAACAGAATGTTCACAATAACAAAACATAATAACCTCAATTGTTTTTTTTCTGGATCTATGGGAATAGAAAGGTGATTTCTCTCGAGAAATTTCTCTTGGATTAATAATTATAAACCATCTACATTCTCTCAATGTCCAGCAGCAGTCTGCCCAGACAAAGATGACATACCATTAGGTTACCAACGATATGAAGTTTGACATCTTGAAATTCTTCATTTGGAAAAATAATTCAGTCTGTGGTTATGGGAACATTTCTGTAAGAGTACACCATGTTATTATCAAAGCAAAATATATCTACATAGAAATATAGAATATTAATATGTAGGCATGCTAGTTAAGAGCAGGATACGTACACTAATTTATTGAAGGATGTAAACACTAATTTATTGAAGGATATATACACTAATTTATTGAACGATATATACACTAATTTATTGAAGGATGTAAACACTAATTTAGGGAAGGTTATATACACTAATTTATTGAACGATATATACACTAATTTATTGAAGGATATATACACTAATTTATTGAACGATATATACACTAATTTATTGAAGGATGTAAACACTAATTTAGGGAAGGTTATATACACTAATTTATTGAAGGATATATACACTAATTTATTGAAGGATATATACACTAATTTATTGAAGGATGTAAACACTAATTTAGAGAACGATATATACACTAATTTAGAGAACGATATATACACTAATTTAGAGAACGATATATACACTAATTTAGAGAAGGATATATACACTAATTTAGAGAAGGATATATACACTAATTTATTGAAGGATATATACACTAATTTATTGAAGGATATATACACTAATTTATTGAAGGATATATACACTAATTCATTGAACGATATATACACTAATTTAGAGAAGGATATATACACTAATTTAGAGAATGATATATACACTAATTTATTGAAGGATATATACACTAATTTATTGAAGGATATATACACTAATTCATTGAAGGATATATACACTAATTTAGAGTACGATATATACACTAATTTAGAGAATGATATATACACTAATATAGAGAACGATATATACACTAATTTAGAGAACGATATATACACTAATTAACATCGTTCAGTATATCTATACGCCGACAGTGCCTTTTCTCCAGGGAAGCCATGACTACTTTAATTTCCTTAAGCTTTTTGTTAACATTTTAATCAGGCTGACATGAAACAAGTTCATCAAAGTTATAGCCAGGCATGTAGTTCTATGATGTCATTACAACATTGAGGTACCAACTTATTAGTCTATGTAATTTAACTATTGATACCCCAATGGGGAATCCTATGTATGCTTGTTGTTGGTAGGTCCACCTGATCAAAGTATTTGAGTTTTCTCAAAGGACTTTCATGTTATTTTTATCTAAATAATCTAACATCAATGATGGACAAAAATGGTGTTTACCAGTATGGTAGCACTGTTAAGGAGACAATAGGGATGTCAGTGCTTATTCTTGAAATATTAAATAATATTTCATGTATTAGGGTGGTCCGGTGGCGCAGTGTTAACGCACTCGCCTTTCACCAAGCCGACCGGGGTGACTACTTTAATTTCCTTAACGGACATTTTAAAGGTAAGGGGCCAAGTTCCAAAGTTATAGCCACGTGGGTTTTCCCCGATGTCATTACAACATTGAGGTACCGAATTATTAGTCTATGTAATTTAACTATTGACCCCTCGCGCGCTTACATCCGGGCCAACAAGAGTGATTAGTATTTTTAAGTTGACATAACTTGTTTCGCAATTGTTGTAAAATAAATAAAGTTTATATATATATATATATTTCATGTGAACTGCCATTCATTTTACCATTATGGTAAAATGATTTCCCTGATGGTCTCAGAATTCGCCTCAACAACCTTGGATATTTTGTCTAACCATATTTTACCTTGGATAAAAAATTGACCTTTAAGGACCTTGTATATCAAATTTTCCTCAACTTGCTTTAAGGTGACCCTACATATTTGTTTATTCAAATGATTTATAAAAGAAGGCAAATGACATAAAATGTTTTAGTATTCCAATAAACTTACAATACTTTGTCATTTTAATAACCTTGGATTACCTTTTTTGTATTTTCAGGATTGGAAGTGGGATCAACAAAGACAGGTGGTTCATCAGGCGGGAGTAGCCATGGCAGCAGTAGTAGTGGTCGTCATAGTGACATCATCAACCAACTTGGTGAAGGCTCTGATATCAAACAGTTTATGTCACCAGAGGTAAGGATAAAAGAATTGATAACATCAGACAAGAGGCAAAACCTTGATGCCAAGATCTCTAGTCACATACTTATCAAGAGGTCAGAATTACATGGATATTTTAAAATTATTGTTTTTCCCTTCAAGACTTTTCAATATTTTATGTAAATTGTTATGATTTTAGTTCCTAGATGATGATGGTGCTGAAAGTGATGACAGCATTCACACAATGACAGAAGCAGAGTCTCGCATATCTCACAAAAAGTTTGGTGCTATAAGAAAGGCAGGGTAAGTCAACTTGTTGACATGTTTGGGAATGCTTAAGAAGTCTATATAGGCAATTAAGTGTAATAAGAAAAACAGCAGTATAGCATGTCATTGGTTTGACTAAACATGGTTCATTATTAGTATATGGAATTGTGACTTGCCACACTGCCTGTCTGGCCTTCTTTCTGTAATCCTCAAAAGGAGTTAACACATATCGTTTTAACATGAGTCTGTAAACTGCATGTTTATTTTTATAAATGTTGAAAATGGATGTTAAAATGTTTGATGAAAATATATTCTCAATAATAGTGCACAATATTTCACTTTTACTGTGTTTAATTTTTTTCTTTATATTATATGTGTAACAGTACTGAGAGCATGTATGTTTTGTATATATAGACTCATGCTAATGGTAGGATATAGAAGAAACCATAGATAATCCTAGGAAAACAAGATGTGACAAAGAACATAGGGTAGATAACTCTAGGAACATTTAGCGTTAATTATTGATGAGAACAAGAAGATGGGGACTCAGGGTAGATAACTCTAGGAACATTTAGTGTTAATTATTGATGAGAACAAGAAGATGGGGACTCAGGGTAGATAACTCTAGGAACATTTGAGCTTGCTGGTAAGATTAGTAGAAATATGGCAGAAAAACATAGGAATATCATTATATGTTAGGAAATCTGGATGGATAACCAAAGAGGTTCATTTGGAATTAGAAAGAAAAACATAACAGCTAGAAGTGATTAGTTACCAATTAGTGAGCTTAGTAACAAATATCTAGAGAATCTGACAAATGTTGGAATTTTATAGTGTTACCATGATAACAAAATAACTTGAGAATCTGACAAACCTAGGAAATTCATGACTGTTTACCCTTGGATAACATAAATATATAGAATGTTATAATTACCATGGTAACAAAATAACTTGAGAATCTGACAAACCTAGGAAATTCATAACTGTTTACCATTGGATGTCATAAATATATAGAATGTTATAATTACCATGGTAACAAAATAAGCTTAGTTACTTTGAGTTTTGTTGTATCCATGGTAGCAAATATTATTATGCATAAAAATTCGTACTCGTGTTCTTCTTTCACATTCTATCTAAGTCGTTGTGACTCATTTTTTTCTGTCAAAAAATAGCAGAATATCAGAATACTATCTAAATGCACTACATGTAATGATAAGTATGTGGAATATCACATATTGATTACTACTTTCTAGAAGAACTTATTTAGTCTTCATAAAAATATCATGTACATTTGATATATTAATGTACTTGAATTAATGATAAATTCTTTGAAAGATGTAGTTTCTTAAGCTACTTTATGAAAATGTGGACTACTTAACAGACTTTTAAGTACTTTATTAGATGTCTGTGAAATTAAACATAAGTGTGTGTATTTAATATTTTGTAAATGTCTATCACCAACAGGTGGCTGGTGGTGAAAAACTGGCTAATCCAGAGAAAGAGGAAGTTAGATCTGGCACCAAAGAGGAAGTGGAAACGTTACTGGGTGTGTCTTAAGGGCACTGTGTTACTCTTCTTTGATTGTGATGAGGAAACTCTGATCGATGAAAACACCATCCCAAGACATATTCTAGGTACAGTGCTACAGAGTCAATTAACAATTTTAGTCTAAACAAAAACAAAAGTCAACACTCATTAAATACATGTAAATATAACCATGGAAACAATATTCTACATATGATGTATTTCTGGTGATTTGAGTGTGGTTTATCAATAGCTCATTCATCACAAGTAGTTTTATTGGTGTTAAATAAAATACACTGTAAAAACAAGAGAAATTTATTTCCTTTAGTGAAATGAATTGTAAATTTCAGTCAAGTGATCAGTGTGAAAGTGATTTATCAATGGGAGAAAAAAACTCTTGTCTTTAAAGTACATATAGTATAAAAATTCAAAATTCATGGATTGTGCAATAGATTTGAACAGGAATGAAAAAAATACCTTGAAATATGGAAAGACATAACGAGAAAAGAAATCCAATGAAACAGATGTCATCGTGAAATGTGGTAAATGTACTTTAGGTGATTTGCAGTTCAAACTTCAGCAATCAATATCCCTCTCATACAGTACATGGCAGTACACTGAGGAAAAAATATGATTTTTGATATAAAAAGACTAAAAATTGGAGTGAAGTAAAAAGATAGGTTCTAAAAATAGAACTGAATTAGAAACGTTCCACAACCGTAATACAATGTACTGTACTAACATAACACTGACTGTCAAGAAGAATGCTTTAGTTACAACAAAGACAGTAACTATGTGAAAACTCTTCAAGTAACTAATCTAATACATGCACACTTTTTTTTCAGTCATTGAAGGGGGGATAACCCAGGCAGTCCCAGAGCATCCAAAGAGAGACAACATTTTCTCCCTTAGTACAGCATTTGGGGATGCCTACCTGTTCCAGGTAAGATAATCAGATATCTTGAAATTTCTTTATAAACAGGAAGTAACACTAAAAGTTTCAATCAGAAATATAGATAATTACTATCAAGGTACAAGCAGGATCTGCATCCTGGGTTTGATAGGTCATCAGGTTATAGGTCAAATTCTAGAACAACCGCCATGCTTGTTTACGATAAAAATGGCTTTGTGTAACTTACAAGAAGAAATAATATGGGACTACAAGAATTTGGTCAGCTTGCAAGGGCCTTCGTCAGTATTCAACAGTACAGACACTGAAGGAGAGATTGTTTAGTAAAGCGAAACATAACATCAAGCCCTATATCTGTGCGTAGACAATCTGTAAAGGCTCCCAAGCCAAACTAGTTTGATATTTGCTATTTTAGGTTTTTTGAAAATACATCCATAATATAAAAGATTATCTGTGTATATTATATTAAAATTTATTAAATGTTTCACTGACAATTTTTATCAATTATTCTCCGTTGTCTGTTATATACAAACTTCGGTCAACATAACGTTTACCACTTCATAAGAACTTCCTTCCATTATCTGTTACCAGTATATTAAACATCAACCATTGTGGTATCCATATCGTAAGAAAAGGTGTGGCTTATATTCAGGTGTGGCTTATTTGTGGATCAAATTGAAAATTTCGCTAAAAACTGGCCCAGCAGCTTATATACCTGTGCAGCTTATAACCCAGAAAATGCAGTAGACACTTATGTTTAATGTCAGCACCTCTCTGTTTTCCCCAGGCTCTATCACCAACTGAAGTAGACAGCTGGATCTGCGCTGTGCATTCTGCATGTGCATCTGCATTTGCTAGACAGCATGGAAAGGACAACACTCTGCGTCTGATGAAAAGCGAGCTACACAAACTGGAGACTAACATTGATGTGGTGAGCATAAACAGTAGATAATACCATGTCTAGACTCATCCTCCTTTCCTACCCTCAACAAGGCTCATCCACCTTCCTTATTCTCAACAGGGCTCATCCACCTTCCTTAAACTCAACAAGGCTCATCCACATTCCTTATTCTCAACAAGGCTCATCCACCTTCCTTAAACTCAATAAAGCTCATTCACCTTCCTTAAACTCAACAAGGCTCATCCACCTTCCTTAAACTCAACAAGGCTCATCCACCTTCCTTAAACTCAACAAGGCTCATCCACCTTCTTTAAACTCAACAAGGCTCATCCACCTTCCTTAAACTCAACAACACTCATCCACCTTCCTTTAACTCAACAAGGCTCATCCACCTTCCTTAAACTCAACAAGACTCGTTCACCTTCCTTAAACTCAACAAGACTCATTCACCTTCCTTAAACTCAACAAGCCTCATTCACCTTCCTTAAACTCAACAAGACTCATTCACCTTCCTTAAACTCAACAAGGCTCATCCACCTTCCTTAAACTCAACAAGGCTCATCCATCTTCCTTAAACTCAACAAGGCTCATCCACCATCCTTAAGCTCAACAAGACTCATTCACCTTCCTTAAACTCAACAAGACTCATTCACCTTCCTTAAACTCAACAGGGCTCATCCACCTTCCTTAAACTCAACAAGGCTCATACACTTCCTTACTCTCACAGGGCCTATTCACCTTCCTTACTATCAAAAGGGCTCATTTACCTTCCTTACTCTCAAATGGCCTGTTCACCTTCCTTACTATCAATAAGGCTCATTCACCTGCCTTACTATCAATAAGGCTCATTCACCTTCCTTAAACTCAATAAGGCTCATTCACCTTCCTTAAACTCAACAGGGCTTATTCACCTTCCTTACTATCAAAAGGGCTCATTTACCTTCCTTACTCTCAAATGGCCTGTTCACCTTCCTTACTATCAATAAGGCTCATTCACCTTCCTTAAACTCAATAAGGCTCATTCACCTTCCTTAAACTCAACAAGGCTCATCCACCTTCCTTAAACTCAACAAGGCTCATACACTTCCTTACTCTCACAGGGCTTATTCACCTTCCTTACTATCAAAAGGGCTCATTTACCTTCCTTACTCTCAAATGGCCTGTTCACCTTCCTTACTATCAATAAGGCTCATTCACCTGCCTTACTATCAATAAGGCTCATCCCCACTCCTTGTTCTCAACAGAACTTATCCACCTTTCTTAATCTCAGCAGGGTTCATCTTTCTTCCTTAGTCTCAACACTTCTCATCCAGTTTAGTCTCAATAGGTCTTACGGGTCAACAGCTCAACTCCATATGAATGGATTTTGGATCTTCAATAAATTTTAACTGAAAATGCAAAATAAGCTCACTCAGAATACAACTTGGATGATGGAATGAATAGATTATGTAATGTATTGGTTTATGAGTTGCAATTTCAAATTGGTGAAGATTTGAACATTTATTGGTATTACCTGGTACCAGTTTATGGAAGATTTCTAGAGCAGCAATCTAGCTGTACTGAAACTGTTATTGTTACACACCCTCGAGGTTATCCTACCCAATATTACATAAACCATTCATTTGACAGGATGTTAAGATGAAAAAAATGGCAGAACTGCAGCTCACTGTTGTCAAAGATCCACGAAGTCGTCAGGCCATTATTAAACAGATTGGCCAATGGGAAGAAAACTTGGAGAAGCTATTTATAGAACAGTATCGCCTGCGTTGTTACATTTCTTCGCTACAAGGAACAGAACTACCAAATCCTAAGGTGAGCAAGTCTATAGAAATAGCAAACATTTATTTCTTGTGTTTCTCACTTCTTCAAGAAACTGTCAGATTATTTGAAGTCTCGAAAATGTCTTCCGTTCTGAAAATATAACAAACAAATTAAAATGTTAATATGTTTAAATTACAACATCTTGTAATGTTACTTAAACTTTAAATTTTTATCAATAGTTATTTTAATCATTTATTAAGGACACAAAATAAAATTTGCTTCAACTTTACATCAGAGGGAATAGCTGAAACCTTCAGCAAAAAGTACAAAAACAATTGATTGTACCTGATTTTGGTATGGGACGGCTATAAGTTTTAATACAGTCTATGGTCCCAGAGTTAGGTAAATCATAAATGTGAGATATTATTTTCAAACATTTGTGCAATGATCATCATCAACATCATTAACCTGATATCAGTTTTGGAACAGGAAAGTACACATATAGGTAACTATATCAATGTTTACAACCACACATAGACATCATCTGTATAATGTAATACAAAAACCCATACGGTTTTACATTGTAACTATATCAATGTTTACAACCACACATGGACATCGTCTGTATAATGTAATACAAAAACCCATACGGTTTTACATTGTAACTATATCAATGTTTACAACCACACATGGACATCGTCTGTATAATGTAATACAAAAACCCATACGGTTTTACATTCAACATCACTTAATTTCTCCATTTATTGCTTAAGGTTGCTTGCTAATTAAGAAAAATTACTTAATGAATTCCTCAGAGAAAACTCAATAAACCCACATTTCCTGAAACATTAAGACTGCTTTGCTCCATTAACAGATCCTGGAAGTCAACCATTCACAACATTTTGTCCAGATTTAGAATTCTTTTAAAGCTTTTCTCTTCCATCATTCACTTGGTGTAATTGATTTGTTCTCCAAGCCACGGCTATCATTTTTAACTGCAGTTTTCTTGTAAATTCATGATTCGAATTTGGTGTTAAATGTCGTACACAATATGCTGCTACAAAATCAATCTGCCTTATCATCTAATATAAATTATGAAACCATATCTACTTTTGCAAAAGAAAGGGCAGTTAACCAGGTAAAATGTATTCAGTTCTACTTAATCTTTTTTCTCATTTTGATATTTCTTTTAATATCATATATGTTTATTGTCATAGCTCTGTTTATATCATGTATCAATGATATAATAATTGTCAGTTTTGTTCATACTGTGTCAAACTTTGTGTGTTTTATGTTGTATAATTCCATTGACATATTACTATGATATATTCATCAGTAGATCAATTATCTACTTATATTCCTAACATATAAAAATAACTTTAGGGTTCTCCCTAGTACACTACTTACATATAAAAATAACTTTAGGGTTCTCCCTAGTACACTACTTACATATAACTTTAGGGTTCTCCCTAGTACACTACTTACATATAACTTTAGGGTTCTCCCTAGTACACTACTTACATATAAAAATAACTTTAGGGTTCTCCCTAGTACACTACTTACATATAACTTTAGGGTTCTCCCTAGTACACTACTTACATATAAAAATAACTTTAGGGTTCTCCCTAGTACACTACTTACATATAAAAATAACTTTACGGTTCTCCCTAGTACACTACTTACATATAAAAATAACTTTAGGGTTCTCCCTAGTACACTACTTACTTATAAAAACAACTTTAGGGTTCTCCCTAGTACACTACTTACATATAAAAATAACTTTAGGGTTCTCCCTAGTACACTACTTACATATAACTTTAGGGTTCTCCCTAGTACACTACTTACATATAAAAATAACTTTAGGGTTCTCCCTAGTACACTACTTACATATAAAAATAACTTTAGGGTTCTCCCTAGTACACTACTTACATATAAAAATAACTTTAGGGTTCTCCCTAGTACACTACTTACATATAAAAATAACTTTAGGGTTCTCCCTAGTACACTACTTACATATAACTTTAGGGTTCTCCTTAGTACACTACTTACATATAAAAATAACTTTAGGGTTCTCCCTAGTACACTACTTACATATAAAAATAACTTTAGGGTTCTCCCTAGTACACTACTTACATATAACTTTAGGGTTCTCCCTAGTACACTACTTACATATAACTTTAGGGTTCTCCCTAGTACACTACTTACATATAACTTTAGGGTTCTCCCTAGTACACTACTTACATATAAAAATAACTTTAGGGTTCTCCCTAGTACACTACTTACATTACATATAAAAATAACTTTAGGGTTCTCCCTAGTACACTACTTACATATAAAAATAACTTTAGGGTTCTCCCTAGTACACTACTTACATATAAAAATAACTTTACGGTTCTCCCTAGTACACTACTTACATATAAAAATAACTTTAGGGTTCTCCCTAGTACACTACTTACATATAAAAATAACTTTAGGGTTCTCCCTAGTACACTACTTACATATAAAAATAACTTTAGGGTTCTCCCTAGTACACTACTTACATATAAAAATAACTTTAGGGTTCTCCCTAGTACACTACTTACATATAAAAATAACTTTAGGGTTCTCCCTAGTACACTACTTACATATAAAAATAACTTTAGGGTTCTCCCTAGTATACTACTTACATATAAAAATAACTTTAGGGTTCTCCCTAGTACACTACTTACATATAACTTTAGGGTTCTCCCTAGTATACTACTTACATATAAAAATAACTTTAGGGTTCTCCCTAGTACACTACTTACATATAAAAATAACTTTAGGGTTCTCCTTAGTATACTACTTACATATAAAAATAACTTTAGGGTTCTCCCTAGTATACTACTTACATATAAAAATAACTTTAGGGTTCTCCTTAGTACACTACTTACATATAAAAATAACTTTAGGGTTCTCCCTAGTACACTACTTACATATAAAAATAACTTTAGGGTTCTCCCTAGTACACTACTTACATATAACTTTAGGGTTCTCCTTAGTACACTACTTACATATAACTTTAGGGTTCTCCCTAGTACACTACTTACATATAACTTTAGGGTTCTCCCTAGTACACTACTTACATATAAAAATAACTTTAGGGTTCTCCCTAGTACACTACTTACATATAAAAATAACTTTAGGGTTCTCCCTAGTACACTACTTACATATAAAAATAACTTTAGGGTTCTCCCTAGTACACTACTTACATATAAAAATAACTTTAGGGTTCTCCCTAGTACACTACTTACATATAAAAATAACTTTAGGGTTCTCCCTAGTACACTACTTACATATAACTTTAGGGTTCTCCCTAGTACACTACTTACATATAACTTTAGGGTTCTCCCTAGTATACTACTTACATATAAAAATAACTTTAGGGTTCTCCCTAGTATACTACTTACATATAAAAATAACTTTAGGGTTCTCCCTAGTATACTACTTACATATAAAAATAACTTTAGGGTTCTCACTAGTATTACTTACATATAAAAATAACTTTAGGGTTCTCCCTAGTATTACTTACATATAAAAATAACTTTAGGGTTCTCCCTAGTATACTACTTACATATAAAAATAACTTTAGGGTTCTCCCTAGTATACTACTTACATATAAAAATAACTTTAGGGTTCTCCCTAGTACACTACTTACATATAAAAATAACTTTAGGGTTCTCCCTAGTATACTACTTACATATAACTTTAGGGTTCTCCCTAGTACACTACTTACATATAAAAATAACTTTAGGGTTCTCCCTAGTACACTACTTACATATAAAAATAACTTTAGGGTTCTCCCTAGTATACTACTTACATATAAAAATAACTTTAGGGTTCTCCCTAGTACACTACTACTATAAAAATACTTTATATAATATAAAAATAACTTTAGGGTTCTCCCTAGTACACTACTTACATATAAAAATAACTTTAGGGTTCTCCCTAGTACACTACTTACATATAAAAATAACTTTAGGGTTCTCCCTAGTACACTACTTACATATAAAAACAACTTTAGGGTTCTCCCTAGTACACTACTTACATATAAAAATAACTTTAGGGTTCTCCCTAGTATACTACTTACATATAAAAATAACTTTAGGGTTCTCCCTAGTACACTACTTACATATAAAAATAACTTTAGGGTTCTCCCTAGTACACTACTTACATATAAAAATAACTTTAGGGTTCTCCCTAGTACACTACTTACATATAAAAATAACTTTAGGGTTCACCCTAGTACACTACTTACATATAACTTTAGGGTTCTCCCTAGTACACTACTTACATATAAAAATAACTTTAGGGTTCTCCCTAGTACACTACTTACATATAAAAATAACTTTAGGGTTCTCCCTAGTACACTACTTACATATAAAAATAACTTTAGGGTTCTCCCTAGTACACTACTTACATATAAAAATAACTTTAGGGTTCTCCCTAGTACACTACTTACATATAAAAATAACTTTAGGGTTCTCCCTAGTACACTACTTACATATAAAAATAACTTTAGGGTTCTCCCTAGTACACTACTTACATATAAACACAACTTTAGGTTTCTCCCTAGTACACTACTTACATATAAAAATAACTTTAGGGTTCACCCTAGTACACTACTTACATATAACTTTAGGGTTCTCCCTAGTACACTACTTACATATAACTTTAGGGTTCTCCCTAGTACACTACTTACATATAAAAATAACTTTAGGGTTCACCCTAGTACACTACTTACATATAACTTTAGGGTTCTCCCTAGTACACTACTTACATATAAAAATAACTTTAGGGTTCTCCCTAGTACACTACTTACATATAACTTTAGGGTTCTCCCTAGTACACTACTTACATATAAAAATAACTTTAGGGTTCTCCCTAGTACACTACTTACATATAAAAATAACTTTAGGGTTCTCCCTAGTACACTACTTACATATAACTTTAGGGTTCTCCCTAGTACACTACATATACATATAACTTTAGGGTTCTCCCTAGTACACTACTTACATATAACTTTAGGGTTC